TAATACGGCAATTATTTTAAAAAAGTGTTCTCAGAAATGAGCTATCACACGTGAAGATTCAGGGTTTTCAAGCCAAATGATCAATCTTATGGCCACATTCATGGCATAGTTTGTTCAAATGATCTCATATTGTGCACAAGGGTGCATCTTGGAATTCTAAACAATGTTGCCTAAGGGAGTTTTCATTTTCTTTGCATGGAAAATTCATTTTCCATTTTCCGAGTGCCCGAATTGAGTTCTTTTTGTGAAGGACCTACCATATATTTGTTGCAAAATTGGACCAAATCATTTTTCTAAAATACTAGGCCATATTTGATTCACAATTGACCAAATGGTAGGGTGTCAAAAGTTTTGATCCACCTCTGGTGAAAAAGACAAATTCCCGCCGATTCAGTTGAAAGCGAGTCAAATTTGAACTGGAGCTGCCTCATAGTTTCCTCTTTATTTTTTCCAAAAATCATTTCTAGGTAAATAAGTATCTATTTAATCATAGAAACACCAAAAAAATTCCAAGACTCAACCACTAGCTAGGAACGATCAAGCCCGCCGTTTTGACCGCATTTTGAAACGGGCATAAAAAATTCAAAAAAAATCAAAATATTAGAAAACCTTCGCATTGTGTCATTGTATGTGACCAAGTTTCCAGGAAAAATAATAAACTTGTAATATGGTAATTATTTTAAAAAAGTGTTCTCGGAAATGAGCTATCATGTGTGAAGATTCATGGCTTTCAAGCCAAATGATCAATCTTATGGCCACATTCATGGCATAGTTTATTAAAATGATCTCATATTGTGCACAAGGGCACATCTTGGAATTCCAAACAATGTTGCCTAAGGAAGTTTTCATTTTCTTTGCATGGAAAATTCATTTTTCATTAGGAGGTTTTTTTGTGAAGGAACTACCAAATAATTGTTGCAAAAATGGACCAAATCAATTTTATAAAATACTAGGCCATATATAATGCACAATTGATAAAATGGTTGGGTGAAAAAAGTTTTTATCCACCTCTCGTGAAACAGACAAATTCCCGCCGATTCAGGTGGAAGCGGATCAAATTTGAACTACAGCTGCCTCATAGTTTGCTCTTTATTGTTTTCGAAAATCATTTCTAGGTAAATAAGTATCTGTTTAATCAGAAATACATGGTTTGATGGAGAGACATCGAGGTTTGGACGGTGGCCGAGGGCCCCAACCCTAGAGCGCGTAAGCTCGCATGCCCGCCGCGTGGTCACCACGTGACCGTGGCGTTGCCATGTGTTCTGGGCGGCCTAGGCATGTCTAGTGGGTTGGACACTCCCCAGGTAGGTGCTAGGAAGAAAATCACAACATAAGATTCTCACGAGGAGACCGATCGATGCTCAAACATGAATAAGCAGCCAAGTGTTTGATTTGCGGTACGGGAAATGCACATGGCTAATGGGCGTGAGTTTTGGCTGAGGATGATCAGTTACTAAGAAGACCGTCTTCACAAAATTTCACCTCAAAAGGAGGAGCCTAGGTGGTACTTGCTTTACAAAGTACCATACTGGACATAAATACGAATGTTGAAGCTGGGCTCAAAATAATGAATGGATTGAGCTGGCATTTTGTGGAGGATGGTTATTTGGGCATAGGAAACCACTGTAGAAAATGGATACCATTTGGACATGCCAAAGTGGTACTTCCTTCACAAAGTGCTCTTCTGAACAGAATAGGAAAATGAATATTTTTGAATTATTTTTGAACTAGGCAAGGAATGTTTTTGACATATTTGACGAAGATATGATCCAAAACATTTATGAGAATTTTTTGGGAATTTTTGGAATAACAGAAATATAGGCTGCTTCACAACCTAGGGCAAAAACTGCCACATGGACATGACACATAGGCAAAACTGATGAGATGGCGCCTAGTCATCACAACCCACCACAATCTATAAGGCTATGACCATCTATATTGGTCATTAACAACTAGAAATAAGGCAGCAGACTAGCACTGTTTGCTTTGTGACCATTTCGTGTAAGGAAATTATGACCTTTCTGACCAAAATGGTCGCAATGGTTTAGGGTTTGGAGCCCCCCGAACAGTTTTTGACCAATTGATCTGAAATGGTCATAGATCTATGACCAATTCTTCCAGGGTCACTAACAGAAGGTCACTAGTTGACATATTTCTTGTAGTGTAAACTCGGAGGTGTCGTCCATTCAACACTAGATTAGTTGGATCATGATCAGATCACGAAGAGTACGACTACATCAACCACGTTATATGCGCTTTCGCTTAACAGTCTAAGAGGGTATGTAGACACACTCTTCTCTCTCATTGCTATGCTTCTCATAGATAGATCTTGGTTTTTCATAGGAAATTTTTTGATTTTCATGCAACGTTCCCCATCAAGCCCTTCATTCTCAGGGCCCATTGAAGAAACGACCATTTGACTTTGTCATATGCCTTTCAAAGTCAATTTTAAGTACTACTCCATATTACTTGAACCTCAAATGAATGTAGTATGGGATGGATGAAGTACAAACCTAGCTTAATGAATGCCAAATGGGCGACCAAACTTGAGGTGGACGACGGAGGTGCTCGGGCATGGTGGGTGCATTTTGCGTCACTTTTTACCTTGTGTTTTCATACCTTAATTGTATGATATTTCATACTTTACCGCTTTCATGCGACATTTTGCCTAATTTCACCAGTATCTCAAAGAAGCGGGAGATTTCATCTGTTGCTTGGAAAACACCTGTATTTGGGTGAAATCATGCTAATTAACACTAATCAACTGGAAAGAAAACCATCAACGTGGAGCCATCGGAAAGAGAAGACGGTGTGGGGTACGACACCGCCCGCTCGTATTAGCGGTCATTACCGTACAATATCACATCTGCCTGGTTGACTACTTCAACACAGAGGCCCCAGAATCATGAGAAAACAACAACCTTACCTCCATAAGGGATGGGAGGGGGGTCGACAGAAGGGCACTACGAGTCTGCCATGTTGTTGCCTTGATCAAGGAGAATGATGGAAAAGTGTACAACTTAAGTGGACCCTTTTTGATATTCTAGACAATTTTTGAAAAACATAAACGTTTTTTGAAATTCCTGAACAAATTTTGAAAAATTGGAACACCTTTTGGATTTACGAACATAATTTAAAACACAAACACTTTTTGATAACAATTTTTTAAAAGCATGAACATTTTATTGAAACACTATGCCTTTTTGAAAAATAAAAAGAAGAAACGAAAAAGGGAAAAACAAAAAAAGGAAAAACAAAAAAACGAAAATAAAAATAAGAAACACAAAAGGGAAAACGTAAAAACAAAAATAAAAAATAAAAAGGAAAAAGAAGAAAATGGAAAACCTGTAAAAGAACAAAAACCGGTTGGACCTTCTCGAAGGTTTCTAAAATCGTCTGGCTCGCTGTGGTAATGTGGGCTGGCAAATTTCTTGCGCTGGGAAGTTTGCCTATGCGTGCGCCCAATAATTTGACGCAGAGAGCGTCAAATAGGGGAGCAACTAGTTGGCGAGCGCTTCTTCGGGAGCCTCACAACGATCACTTGCGGGTGGGCTGAGAGCTCGCATCTTGGCGCGCTCTCAGCCGTCACCACGTGTTGTGCTCTTTGTGCTCCCTCAGATTTTGTTTTTATTTCCCACACGCTTTTGGCTTTTTTTTTCTTTTTTTTTCCTTTTTGGTTTTCCATCGGCCTTCCTTAGCTTTTGGACCAAAAAACACATTTTTTTCCGCGAAAGGCACGGTTTGCTTCCACGAGAGGCAAGGTTTTACTTTCGCGAGAGGCACGGTTGTGCATCTTGGAAACAAAAAACATGTTTTCTATTTTTCTCCTTCCATGAGAGGCACGGTTCTACTTCCGTGAGAGGCACAGTTGTGCTTTCGCGAGATGCACGGCCGTGCCTCTCGGAAACGAAAAAAAAACATATTTCTGTTTTTTTCTTTCCACAAGAGGCACGGGTTTGCTTATGCAAGAGGCACGGTTGTGCTTTCACGAGAGGCACAACCGTGCCTCTCGAAAACAGAAAAAACGTGTTTTCTTTTTTCTTTTTGCTTCAGTGAGAGGCACGGTTTTGCTTCCGCGAGAGGCACGGTCATGCCTCTCGGAAACGAAAAACACAGGTTTTCTGTTTTTTTTCTTCCGTGAGAGGCATATTTTTGCTTCCGCGAGAGGCACAGTTATGCTTTCGCGAGAGGCGCGTGCCTCTCGGAAACCGAAAAAACGCATTTTATGTTTTTTCCTTTCGCGAGAGGCATAGTTTTGCTTCCGCGAGAGGCACAGTTGTGCTTTCTCGAGAGGCACGGCCGTGCCTCTCGGGAACGAAAAGAAAACGCCTTTTCTATTTCTTTTTTCTTTTACGAGAGGTACGACTTTGCTTCCGTGAGAGACACGGGCGTGACTCTCGGAAACGAAAAAAAAACTTATTTTCTGTTTTTTTTCATTCCGCGAGAGGCATGGTTTTTCTTCCACAATACGCACGCTTGTGCTTCCGAGAGAGACACACTTGTGCCTCTTTCGAAAACGAAAAAAAACCATGCTCGCGGTTTGGTTTTTTTCGGCCATTTTTTTTGTAAAAAGTAAATTCTTTATCAACATGGGATCTAGTTTTGAACATCTCGCCGTGAGAAATTCAATGGTGAAAACGGTTCAAAATTTGGTCTCACGGTTTAGGAGGTAAAACGTTTTGAATAAACGAATCTACAGAAAAAGGATAAACACTTTCAGGTTGTGACAAGTGGTGCAGAAGATGAGAGTGATCTTTACAAGGAGTACTCCTCAGTTAATGATTTCGGTCAAATAGGTTTTTTTAGGGGGACAAATAGGGTTTTCTATGTTCTATATTCTGGGAAAGGCTCAGCCCAGTTATGCTATTGTGCCTTACTATGTCTCGGGCCAAAGTGACGCCTAGCCGACTCCAAAAACTCGGCTGAGACTAGTTTCTTCAGGCCCACTGTTCTTTTAAGCCCAAGCAAAACTCGATCCCGTTCGCTTCGCCGGGTCTCCCATGCCGCCGGCGAGGAGCCCGGCCGCCGGCCTGCGGCGGCGCAAAGTCTTCCTCCCTCTCGTGTTGCTCCTCCCCCTTATTCTACTGACCCTAATCCTGATCTTCCCATCTCGCTCCATCCCCGCGCTCCGCGACGCAGCTCTCAGGTCCCAACAGACCTGCGACTACGCTGCCGGCGGATGGGTGCCCGACTCCTCCGCTGAGTCCCACCTCCGGTACGACCACACGTGCAAGGAGATCTTCAAGGGGTGGAACTGCATCGCTAATGGCAAGCGCAACGGCCACGCCCTCCTCCGCTGGCGATGGAAGCCCGCCGGGTGCGAGCTACTCCCCAGACTCGACCCGCTCCGGTTCTTAGAGCGTCACAGGAACACCAACATTGGTTCGTACTCACCCATTTCGCTGTGTTTGGTAGCTAGTGCTTGAGAGTTGAGATGTGACTCCGTCTGCAGAGTGAAGCCTTTTTGGTGTAGCCTCCTTGTAGAGTTGGAGTTTTTGGCGTCTTTGAAAAAAATCCTCTGTATAGAACGTGGTAATACTTGCGGTGCTTACTACCCATTGTCATAGATCGGCATTCAAGAAACGTCTCTATGCCTTGCTTGGTCTACTAAGCAAGGTAGTAGTATGGTATGCGGATAGATATGTGATTGGTTTCCTGTACTGTTGAATGTGTTGAAATTTACATATGTAGCTGTGCGAATGTCATCTTGTAGTGTGGTCATGTTGGGGCATGGTCAGTTATTATGATTCTTGCTGCATAATGATCATAAATTGTATAAGAGGAAATTGGGTCAATGCATACCTTAAGTGATACAGCTTCTTGGTTCAGATTTATCTGTTTGTCTACGTGTAGTGTATTCAGTCATTTCAGTGACCCCTTGAATATGCTACCACACGTTGATGTATGTTCAATGCTTTGTTGTAGGATTTGTGGGTGATTCTTTGAATCGAAACATGTTTGTCTCATTGGTCTGCATGCTCAGGGGAGTGAACGGAGAGGTTCACAAGTGGCGTCCAGCAGGGGCAGACCGAGGTTTCACATTCCTACGCTACAACCTCACCCTCGCATACCACCGAACTAATCTTTTGGTACGCTATGGCAGGTAACGAGTGCCATTTGTATTAGTACCAAAATTTAGTTCTTTGGAGATGGATGTAACTTCTATTGTTATGAGTTGTCTAAGAATTATATATCCACAATGTGGGTCGTTGCTTTCAGTTTTGGACTCTAGTTCTAATTTGGTAGTATTGCAATGCTTCCAGTAAACCATTCTTGGTACTTGATTTTGAGAAAAATTAAGGTTGCTATTAATAGTCTTTTCTCGCCGGTTCACCATTTTTCTTTAAATTGTTTTGTTTGCCTAATATTTTAGACAGTCTACTGTTTCCCTAACCTTTTTCTGTGTATTAGAGGGTGACTCATAGATCTTTTCATGGATGATGCTGTAACTCATCTATTTGGTTATCATTGATCAAAACTATATTGTTGGTTCTGTAGCTGGTCAGCCAGTCCAAACGGAGGTCCCCTAGAATCTCTTGGATACAAGCAAGGCCACAGGATTGATGTTGATATTGCCGACCAAACATGGGCAGAGGCACCAAGCTTCCATGATATTCTTATTTTCAATACAGGACATTGGTACGTGACATCACAATTCTTAAGGCATATAAGCTTTAAATGAACAGTTGATCAGTTGTCCAATGTTAGCTCCCCATTAATAATTGGTGATCCTGAATCCTAATATTTAAACCCTCTGAGTAATCAGTTAATAGCTCAATACTGTGTTGTTTCTCTTCCATTTATTGTTATTTTGTAATGTGCCTCTTCCTCGGCCTCAGTGCACTCAACGAGATGTCTAGAAGGTATCATTCACAATATGTGTTGTTTACCAAGGCACATAACATCAGAAAGAAATGATTGTTTTGATAGATTGCTTTCATTATCTGATTGGTGCTATTGAAGTATTTTGATTAACCTATTGATGGTAATGATGGAAAAGGATATGCGGTGTTATCTGATTATTGTTATTAGATATGCCATATTTCCTGGCTTCTTTTGCTAACTATTTTTATGTGCTGAGCTAGACGAATCTATGACCACTCTAGCACATATAAAGGGCAAGATAACCAAGCTATTTCCTGAAACTTGTTTTTTGTGTGCATTCGTATTTCGTATTACTGGGCTCATCCCCCTCTGCTTTATACAGGTGGTGGTCCTCTTCAAAGTTTGATCCAATACAGTCACCGATGCTCTTCTTTGAGAAAGGGAAGCCGATTATACCTCCTTTACTGCCACCTGAAGGACTGGATTTGACTCTTAAACACATGGTACGCTTGTGGTTGTCTCTTGAGTTTTCTGAAAATTCCTGTTTACTGTTCCTTGTCTGATAATGTTGAATCAGACTGTCTGTCCAACCGGATATACCGGAAGTTAGGCCCTCATCTGTTCGGGTTCGCTTAAACCTTAAAAGAACATTTTGCCGATAACAACCATGAAAAGATGTTGATTCGAGGGAGAGGTACCTCCAGACTGGATCGAGCAGCTGTCTGGTGGCTCGTGCGAGTGTTTGCAGTCCATACTCCAAACAGCCCGTGCAAGCTCGTGCGAGTGTCTGGTGCTCCAAACAGCCACCATACGGGCCTGCACGGGACTGGGACAAGGGGGGGCTCCTCTTCTAGGTCACCCCCTCTCATGGGGTTGGGCCCAAGAGCCAGATCTAGATGGGCTAGGGCCCATACCGGTTCAACACTCCCCCTCAAGATGGGTGGTAGATATCTATCATGCCCATCTTGTCACACGCCAAGTTACAGTCCTTTGTACCCAGTCCCTTTGTTAAGCAATCTGCAAACTGCTGCCAGAGCTGACATGAGTAAGGCTGATGATCCCAACATCAAGTTTCTCTTTAATGAAGAAGCGATCAATTTCCACATGCTTCGTCCTATCATGTTGAACTGGGTTATTAGCAATGGCTATAGCTGACTGATTGTCACACCACACCCTCAAGGGTCCCTTCCTCAAAAGCTTCAACTTGCACAGTAGGTGCTTCACCCAGAGCATATCACACATCCCTTGAGATAATGCTCTATACTCAGCTTCTGCTGTTGATCAGACACAACAGTCTGTTTCTTGCTTCTCCATGACACCAAATTTCCTCCCACAAACACACAGTATCATCTTGACAGCTAGCCCAATCAGAGTCACTATAGCCATCCACCTCAAGATGTCCACTCTTTGCAAACCACAACCCTTTACCCGGAGTACCCTTCAAATATCTCAGGATTCTGTGAACAATGTCAAGATGCCCACTCCTTGGTTCATGCATGTATCTGCTCACCACCCCCACGGCATACGTAATGTCAGGCCTGGTATGACACAAGTATAATAACCTCCCAACCAGCTTTTGATAATCTTCCTTATTCACTAGCTCACCTGATTGTGCTGTTACTTGATGATTTGTTCAATCGGAGTAGGGGCTGCACGACATCCCATCATGCCCATGTCAGCCAAGAGATCCAAGGTGTATTTTCGTTGGCACAAAGATATTCCCTTCTTTGTCCGAGCCACTTCTATGCCAAGGAAGTACTTTAGATTGCCCAAGTCTTTTACCTCTTGCTCAGACACCCCTTCACTCTCTTTATTTCCTCCTCATCATCTCCAGTGATGATGATATCATCAACATACACTGCAAGAATGTTGATCTTCTTATCAGTGTGTCTATAGAACACCGTGTGATCACCATTACATTGGCCATACCCCATATTCCAAACAGCCCGTCTGAACCTATCAAACCATGCCCTTGGCGATTGCTTCAGACCATACAAGGATTTCTTCAGCCTGCATACCTTCCCCGTAGTCTGTTCTGTGCCAAAACCTGGTGGTATCTCCATGTACACCTTTCTTTCAAGTCACCATGTAAGAAGGCATTCTTGACATCTAACTGGTGCAATTTCCACCCAAAGTTTACAGCACACGAGACCAATACCCTTACTGTGTTCATCTTTGCAACTGGAGCAAATGTCTCATCATAGTCAATTCCATAAGTTTGACTATATCCTCTGGCGACCAATCTAGCCTTTTATCGTTCCACCTTGCCCTCAGGATTCTGCTTCATGGTAAAAATCCACTTTCAACTCACTGCTTTCTTTTCTGCCGGCAATGTGGTTAGCACCCATGTCTTGTTTTTTTCAGTGCTTCTAACTCCTCTATCATCGATTCACGCCACTTTGTATCTTGCTTCACAGCCTTCCAATCCTTAGGGATAGACACAGTTTGTAGAGAGGCAACAAACGCCTTGTATGAAGGTGACAAAGCCTTGTAAGACACAAAATTGCCAATATCAAGGTCATCACAAGCATCATCCTTTGGCAGAGCCTTCCTTGCTACCTCACCCTTCCTTGCCGCTTCACGTGTAGGTTTTCGCAACGCAATGGGCTGCTCTACCGTGTTACAACAGCTTGCCTCACTGCCTTGCTGCTCCCCCTGCACTCTTGCCTCACTGCCTTGCTGCTCCCCCTGCACTCTTGCCTCCCTGCCTTGCTACTCCCCCTGCACTTGTGGTTGCCGTCGAGAGTACACCAAGGTATTCGTCTGCCATCGATCCTGAACAGGAACATGGAGAGCACCAATCTTAAGTGTATCGACACTTGGCTCGACATGAGCCTGCACATCATCATCGGTGAGGGTACTAAACGGAATTGTACCCACTATTGGTTGAACCTAAGCCCGCACATCATTATCAGTGTTAATGTCCACAGAATCACCATGAGTATGAGACACAGCCTTCTCCCCCTCTTGACCATCACGCACAGGGTGTAGGTGGTCAAGCTCTGCAAACAGTAGACTGAGATCAGTCGGCTCACCATAGAATGGCTCAGACTCCCTGAAGGTAACATCCATACTTACAAACCTGCGTTTTTCAGAGCGGCACCAACATTTATACCCTTGCTGACTAGACGAGTATCCCAGAAAGACACACTTCACTGCCCGAGGATCAAGCTTTCCAACAGAAGGTCGGTGATCACGAACAAAGCAGATACTGCCAAACAACTTTGGGGGAACAACAAACTTATTATCTCCAATGAGCAACTCAGACGGAGATTTCATGCCTAGTATCCTGGAAGGTGTCCGGTTGATCAAGTATGTGGCTGTCATAACTGCATCATCCCACAAGAACTTAGGCACATTCATGGTAAACATCAACGACTAAGCAACCTCAAGAATATGACGATTCTTCCTTTCGGCCACTCCATTCTGAGGGGGGGGGGGTGTCCGAACATGAAGTTTGATGTAGAATCCCTTGGTCAGCCATGAAAGCCCCAAAACTGTTGTTCACATACTCCGTGCCATTGTCAGTCCGGAGCACCTTGACCTGCACCTGAAACTGGTTCTCTACAAGAGCATGGAAGTTCTGAAAACAGCTAAACACCTCATCCTTGTGACGCATCAAGTAAATCCAAGTCATGCGAGAATAGCAGTCAATAAAGGTAGCAAAATACTTCTTCCCATTCATTGACACTAGGGGGGCTAGTCCATACATCCGAATGAATAAGCATAAAAGGAGATATGCTCCTGAGCCCCTTACTCACATATGAGGCTCATGTGTGTTTTGCATATTCGCAAGCATCACACGTCAGCTTGCCCTTGCCTATGCCACACATAACATCCGGAAATATTCTACTCATCTTATCAAAAGATACATGCCCCATCCTACAGTGATGGATCATCGCCTGCTTCTCCTTGTCCTCCATGGTCACAGCACACACCAAGTCCGGCTGCACCTCCTGGTCCATGTACCAGAGCCCCCTACGCCTGGTGCCAGTCCCAACCGCCTGGCTCGTCTGTCGCTCCTGAATCAAGCAACCGAACTTGTCAAGGATCACACGACATTCTATTTGATCAATGAGAGCACTGAAAGTGACCAAATTGACAGGAAAGGCTGGCACATGTAAAACTGACGATAGGGAAATGGTTGGAGCGCACTTTACTGTACCAACCCCTATGACAGGCTGTTTTATGCCATCAGCCGTTTGTATGGTGCCTGTGTGAGAGGGAGGATGCTTATTGTAAGACTCGAACACACATGATTTACTAGCAACATGCTTAGATGCTCCAGAGTCAAGAAGCCACTCTGGAGCACTCTCATTAGTAGCAAGAGATGCTCTTTCCGGATTACCTTCATCAGTGGAGGCTCAGTGAGCAAAATCTCCATAGACAACATCATCTACATCTTTGCCTTTGGACGTACCAGTCTCTCCTGCAACGGCCATGTGAGCCCTCTGACCCCCCCCCGAGTGTCCTGAGTAGCCACCTCTGCCTCTAGCAGCCTGACCCCATGAGGCCTCTGAGTATCCACCTCTGCCTCTAGCACTTCTGCCTCTGCCTGTTCCCCCTCTGTTATATCCCCTGCCTCTGCCACGAGTTGGACATTCTCTCTTCCAGTGACCTACCTCCCCACAGATATGACATTTGGTGGGATCTCCCCACTCCATGCGCTTAGTGACTGCAAAGGTCGAAGTTGGCACAACCTTCATGTCTGCATGCTCAAGAGATAGGCGCACCTCCTCTTGAGTCATCGCTGCAACAACCTCGGGAATGGTAGTCAGACTAGGTTGGCGCAACAGGGAAGCCTTCCTGGCATCAAAGCAACCTTAGAGGCCAGCCAAAAATTTCACCACACGCCTGCGTGCCATCCACTTGTCCCTGACTCGATTGAAGCCGCGTCATAGAGTTCCAGGGGATCACAATTATCCTGGTCAGCCCACAACGCCTGCAGTTCTGCCACGTATGTCATCACTGACATGCCATCATCTTGGCGCAACAACCTAATCTTGTCCTCAATCTGAACAATGAGCATGGCATTGCCCTTGCCAGAGTACTGGGTGGATAGAATCTTCCATATCTCAGCAGGAGTGGATAGCCCCTCCACAGAGCGTCCAATGGAGGGCACCACGGAGTTCAACAACCACACCATAAGTACAGAGTGGATGACTTTCCACCTCTTGCCCTCTGCACTACTCTTGTCCCCTGGTTCTACAACGGTGCCCAACAAATGTCCATCAAGCTCCTTCTGCTCCACAGCCCACAAAGCCCTCCTGGACCAGCTCAAATAATTAGTGGCCTCCTCTAGCTTCATGTCCAGGGGCGACATTTCGAACTTTTGAGCCACTTCCTGTCTAGGAACGATTGTTAGAGTACGTAATGGGCCTGGGCTGGCGGTATAGCCCGTTAGTCTTAGGGTTAATTAGAGATAAGGGTCGCTTGCTTAGGGGTCAAGTAAGCCTTGCTTGGGAGTCAAGTAAACGTCTCTATATAAAGAGAGGAGATGTATCAATCTAATCAAGCAAGAATTAAGAAGGAAATCCCTTTCCTCTTGCCCGGCCGTGGGCAAAAGGCCCCCGGCCGGCCCTCTCGCGCCCTCCTTCTAGCAGCGCCATAACAATTTGGTATCAGCTAGCTTCGGTTCGATCATGTCTTCACCGCCGCCAAACCCGTCTCTCCCGCTGCCGGTCACCTTGTTGCCTCCGGCGACCACCACGACCGTCGCCCCGCTCCTGCTCGCACCGGGATCCTCCGTCGCGCCCGCCCCCGCCGTCCTCACCTGGGAGGAGGTGTCCGGGGTGCTGCGGGACCTAACCCAGGCGGTCCAGGAGATCCGTTTGTTCTTGGCCGGGTCCTACGGGCCGCACCAGGCTGCGCCGCCAATCGCCGCCCCCGGGCTGCACCAGCCTTCGCCGCGCTCACCGGGCCGCTGCAGCTGCCATCCATCGCCACCACCGCCCAGCCCTGGCTGCAGTGGCAGCCGCCGCTTCTGGCGGCCTCCGCCGCACCCGGCGCTCCGCCGCAGCTACCGCTGCGGCTGCAGCATCCACTGCCGGTCAGCTCCGCCGCCCAGTATGGGATGCCCTACGACGGGAGTGCGATGACCTCGTTCCCATCAGCGCCGCCGCCATCCCAGGGCGTCCACATCCAGCAGATCAAGTCCCCGCCGTCGCCGTCAGCGCTTCCGTCTTGGATTGCTACCCGCCACGTGTTGGCGGCGGTGAGGCTGCAGGCTGCTGCGCGCGGCCTCCTAGCGCGTCGGCGTGTGCGGGAGATGCGTGGTCTGCAGCTGTCGCTCCTCCAAGTTGCCCTTCGCTGTGCAAAGGACCTCGATCTCGTCCACTGTGTCGGGGATCTTGGGCATGCGGTTTCCCCCATGGGCGGCGGACATGCTGTTTTCCCCGCGGGTAGCGACCTCAAAGTCTGCGACATCGGCGGTTGGGGGGGGCACCCCTTCTCGTCATTCTCCATCGCAAGACCTCCACTCTTCCCTGTGCGGTGCAGACCAATAGTCGTCCGGCGGGGAGAAGGCAGGGTGTCACCGATAGGAGTGCACAGCGGTGCACCACTGCTTTCCGCCGCCGGCCGCCGCGAGGGCGCCTTTGCTGGTCGCTCTTGCGACCACTTCCAGGTGGCCATACACATGCACTCCTTTGGTCCAGGTGGTGTCCATGGGATCCAGGTGGCTATACACGTGCACGTCCAACGTGCGGATGGTGTCCACTTTTTGTTGAGGGGTTCCAAAATAAAGCGTCCCAGTCCATTTCAGGTTGAGAGTCATAAAACAAGCCGAGATGTAAAAGGCTTGTTTTTAGGTGTTAGGTTTGTGTTGCGTCGAGTCATGGTTATAAGTTGGTTAGGCTGCAGCTCGAGGACAAGTTGTATGTCCAGGTGGGGTGTAGTGTTAGAGTATGTAATGGGCCTGGGCTGGCGGTATAGCCCATTAGTCTTAGGGTTAATTAGAGATAAGGGTCGCTTGCTTAGGGGTCAAGTAAGCCTTGCTTGGGAGTCAAGTAAACCTCTCTATATAAAGAGAGGAGATGTATCAATCTAATCAAGCAAGAATTAAGAAGGAAATCCCTTCCCTCTTGCCCGGCCGTGGGCAAAAGGCCCCCGGCTGGCCCTCTCACGCCTTCCTTCTAGCAGCGCCATAACAACGATGGCCCCAAAGTTGGACTCGACGAGGATCTTAGTGAGCTTCTCGAAAGCCTCGGCAAGAGCATTTGGTTCAGCCATCGTTTGGCGGGATAATCAGCAGCAGCAACCCTCAGGACAGCACACTTTAGCTGTAGCAGCTCTCAACAGCAGCAGCAGAACTTAGCCTCAGCAAGTCTTCTTTCCCAAACAGCACCACCACCACCACAGCACCAAGCACACAGCAGCAAGTCCACAGAAAAAAAACCCTTAGTAAAGCACACAGCAGCAGCTCACAGCCCCTCACGAGCAAGCTGCAGAGTCAACAACTCTTGGAGAGTAGGAGCAGTAGCAGCAGGACACTCCAGCAGTCCAGCCCAAGCTCTTCCTGTTTCAGATTGAGCACTCTAGCAGCCTGCGCAGGATCACCCCCGCCAGCCGCCTCTCCTCCTAGCGTCCTCCTCCACCTGGCCACCTGGGCCTCCTGCCTGTCCTGCTCCTGTGGGAGCAGCTCCTCCTCCTCCCGCACCCTCAGGCGCTGCCTCTCCTTTATCCTCCTCCGCCTCTTCTCCTGCCGGCCCCACACCTCCGCGTCACAGCACAGCCGCCTCGCGCGCGCGCACACAGCCCCGCACGCAGCCGTCTCTGTCGCGCCTGGCCCCGCCGGACCCCGCCACCTCGCCAGCGAGCAACTACGCCGCCGCCGCCGCCTCCATAGCCTGGTCTGATACCATGTTGATTCGAGGGAGAGGTACCCCCAGACTGGATCGAGCAGCTGTCTGGTGGCTCGCGCGAGTGTTTCACTTGTGTGGCGGCTTGGCTCCTCTTCTAGGTCACCCCCTCTCATGGGCTTGGGCCCAAGAGCCAGATCTAGATGGGCTAGGGCCCATACCGGTTCAACAAAAGATCATCGTATATGAGCAGCAGGTAAGGGATCAAACTTAGGACCTCTCGCCACCATTCGCGCAGGCATGGGATGCCCAGTACCTGCTGGGCTGCATTCCTTTTATGACCAAGTCACCATGTATAACTGCTATGATGTGTTTCCCAAGTATATATGAAGTCAAAGCTTCCTCCAAACTGACTTGAGAATCAATTAAATGTGATTTTTTACGCATTAAACCGGCGGTTAGACCAGCGAAGCGGTGGGCCATTCTTGATCATTTCACTCATTGAAATAGTCTATAAGAGACGCAAAGCTTTTTGTGTTTTCTCAAGAAAAAAATTGGGTTGATTTTGACTTGAATATTTTCACACTACATTATGTCTAAATGACTTGTCTAAATATGCCCTAGCAAAGAAGAAAAATATCTGCTTTGCTGTTTAATATCATCATGATATTCAACTTTCACTCTAACACTATGAATAATTTTTTTCATCAGATAACATTTGTGAACAAAGCAATGAGACCCAATGGATTGAAATTCTTCAGCACTCAATCTCCTAGACATTTTGAAGGTGGTGATTGGAATGAAGGTGGATCTTGTCAACATGACCAACCCTTGTCCTCTGAAGAGGTATCGAAACAACAGTATGTTGATATTTGGATTGCGCTTTTTCATCTTCTGCTGCATGCTTCCATTTTCTTCTCCTTTTTTCTTTCAAAATCATACGTATTATTGTTATACTCTTTTTAGTATGTTCAATTGTTGGTAGGTAGTCTTAATGTGATAAATGACAGAAGTTGTTTAAATCAGAACTCACAGTTGTAATATGGAGTGAAACAGATGTTCTAACAAGGGGATACTAGGACTGCACCATAGTCTTGTTTGCCAAAAGCATATGCATGTCTATATGTTAGGTTTTTAAAGTAGTTGTAAGGCCATAAGCTATCACACACATGTGATTTGTGTATCTGAACAAGAGTGCTGTCTGTTTCACCTCAAAATAAAGAAACATGAATTTGATTCCTCTGGTTGCCTGACATTGCACCTTTCCATGAAGTACTCCAATCGCTTATCAATCACTTTCAAGTTTTAACAGAAAAAAACCTGCTTTGTAATTTTTTCCCCTAACAGAAAAAACAAGCACTTCAAGTCTGAAGCGCAAACGGCTTGACTAAAGAGAACAAACATCCGTATGACATAAAAAAGAGTTGCACTTGTCAACATATCTCCTCTGTGATCATCAATGCCTTGCATGGATTCCAATATAGCATAGCATTTGCAAATGCACGGTTATTACCCCCCCCAGAAAATATGCAGTATCTGGCAGACAATCTGATCTTCGTATATTTATTTACCTCTGCTGGAATAACACTTTCCTGCTGAACATGAAATCAATCTCTTGAAAGTTACTGAATGTGTTTATATTTCAGTGTTGCTGCAATATATATTTTTTCCCTTTGGTCTAAATACCAAATATTGGGCTGTAGAAGGTTGGTGATTGTTTGGAGCCTGGAGTTTTGAGATTAATATGTTGAGCAAAACTGGTCTAGGTCAAAGAATTTTTCTCCTTGGACAACAACGGCACAAACATAGAAGCACGCTTGGTAAACCAGCACTTGATGAAGGCTCTGGAGCAGTCTACTACCTTGAGAGTTTTGAACGTCACTCACATGAGTGAATTCAGAGCTGATGCTCATCCGGCGACAACCGGAGGAAAGAAGCACGACGATTGCATGCATTGGTGTTTACCAGGACCAACCGATGCATGGAACGATTTGCTAGCAGCAAGTCTTGCGGCAATTCAGAGCTAGCCTTGTGAGAAAATTTCCCCAATTTTTTTCTTGGGGTATGAATACGTTGGAGCATTATCCGTTGTCACAGAAGAGATTTCCTCCGAATACCAAACTGTAGCTTTAACCCAGTATTGGAGTTTTACGACGTGTACTCCTGAATCCTAGAATAGCTTAATTGGATTTGTTTGTTGAACGATCAAACAGAGTGGAGTTTTCTCCCACACCGACTTATCTTTCCATGTGACACCGACACTAAAAGGCAGGCTGCATTATTTTGTGCATATATATTTGCAAGATCTAATTGGAAACTATGTTGTTGTGGCTATACAAATACTTTGACTTTTGCCTGTCATGTCGATGTTTTTGCATGTTTGCTAAATATCGGGCGCCTGAAAAAATTTCAGTCGTCAGTAACTGCTTCTGTTTCGCATGCTTGCATAATCCCCTTTTGTTTCATCATGAAGCTCAGGCACAATTCCCTTTCCCTTTTGTTATACTTTTTTTTTGCGGGGAACCTTTTGTTATACAACTACTAGACCTGATTTGTTTACTTATTTCAGACATTGGACTATACCTGGTCTCTTTGCTGATTATATACATGTACGAGTGCAATTATTTGATGATTAGCACACGCTGACCTGATTTGTCATCTCCTTTCCCTACGTGCAGCCCATTTACAATCTCCTTCATGTATTGCTCCTCACGTCGTCTCAAGCAACGTGCTCGCGTGTAGGACGAAAGGAATCAAACCAGCTCCCGCGCAAAACTATATAACCAGCACTAGAACCAACCTCAGGTCAATCCATCTGTCAACAGTTCATTTCTCCGACGAGCGCGATGAGGACGGCGTTGTCGCTTCTCTCCTTCCTCACCGTCTCAGTGCTTATCCTCGCCCCCATGGCGATGGCGGACGGCTACAGCCAGCCGCAAGACTACCAGCCGCCGGCCTACAGGAAGCCCGCGGACGGCCTTGTCGCCGGATACTACGGCGAGTCGTGCCCCGACATGGAGGGCATCGTCCAGAGGGCCGTCAAGAAGGCCTTCGCCGCAGACTACACCATCGCCGCGGGCCTCATCCGCCTCTTCTTCCACGACTTTGCCGTCGGGGTATGCAATGCATGCAAGAATTATCATACGATTCATTTCTCTCCACAGATCATCAATCTGCACTGTTCTGATTAATTTGATCGATAATCAGGGGTGCGACGCGTCGATCCTGATAGATGCGCCGGGGAGCGAGAAGTACGCCGCGGCGAGCAAGACGCTCCGGGGCTTCGAGCTCATCGAGGCCATCAAGACGGAGCTGGAGGCCAAGTGCCCCGAGACCGTCTCCTGCGCCGACATCCTCACCGCCGCCACCCGCGACGCCAGCAGGGAGGTGGGAGTGAGCTACTGGCCTCTCGTCTACGGCCGGAAGGACGGCCGCCAGTCCCGCAAAGAGGCCGCCGACAAGTACGTGCCCATGGGCCGCGAGAGCGTCACAGACCTCGTCGCCTTCTTCGAGTCCATGGGCCTAAACGTCCGCGACCTCGTCGTCCTCTCCGGCGCGCACACCATCGGCAAGGCCAGCTGTGCCGCCGTGAAGCCGCGTCTGTGCAAGAGCAAACCGGAGACGCTGGACGGCAAGTACGGTGACTTCCTGAGGCGCAAGTGCCGCGGCGGCGACGCGGAGCACGAGAGAGTGGAGCTCGACGGCGTCACGCCCACGGCGTTCGATAACGGGTACTACAAGAACCTGGAGCGCAGGATGGGACTCCTGGAGACGGACCAGAAGATGCTCCATGACTCCCGGACCAGGAGCTTCGTCCAGGAAATGGCCAGAGAGCCCGAGGAATTCAAGCGCCAGTTCGCCGAGTCCATGCACTGGCTCGGCAACGTGCAGGTCCTCACCGGCAGCGAGGGCGAGGTCCGATCCAAGTGCTCCGCCGTCAACTACTGATCCATCCACATTATATACGTCGGCGAAACAGCATGCGCATCTCGGTTAATTTGTTGGTTCAGGAGCGAAATGTTGCTTGCCTTTTTTGGTTTAATTCATACTTGTTTTGGTTAATCTTTTTTAAACTACCTATATACTTATACTTCTTTGTGGTGTAAAGTCATGGCGTGTGTCAGACATACTTTTGCCTCCCAGTTTTTTAACACAGCACAGACGCAAGCGCTCGTATATACGCGCATACACTCACCCTTATGAACGCACACACGCACATCCTACCCTTATGAGCACATCCGAGAGACTGAGCCGACATATCATATTGAGATTTTACGAAGTCACCGTAGACGCCTTGTAGTTGATGGAAACATCTCCTCCCACTAAACGCATGTCACCGGAATTTCTGAAATAAATCCAGGATAAATGCGAGCACCAAGATTGAACCCTGATGGGCTGGGATATCACAGTCCATCTAACCATCCAACCACAAGTTGGTTCGCCTTTTGCCTTCCATTGATTGGAGCCGATGAATGATCTTTTTCAATGTCTTTTTCTCTTTTCGAATTACCCAAATCTATTATAAAAGTTCACTGGAAGCATTCCAAATATAAATTAAAATTAACTTGTTTATCATTATTTTCTATAGAACTTCATGGACTGTATGATTTCAATCAAGGAGCCCTTTACGGGATGACTGGTGCTAGGCAGCGTCGGTTGATCCATCGGAAGCCACTATAGTCTTCTTATGTGAGGTCGAGGTCATCTAATCCTTGCTTCTCATCCTGAAAAAAAAGTCCTCCTTATCTTCTCCTTCATGTCTTGTCACTCCCGGTCTCCTGCACATGGCATGGTTTGCTCCGCTCGCAACTCCACCGTTCGATAATGAGGATATGACACCTGGGCATACCAGGTAGGCAGGCATTGGATCAACCATGTCATCTACCAAGGTGTCGAGTCGGCCATTCGAGCGCACCAACCTCGGAGACAAGGAAGCAGAAAGCTACCCGTGCATGTTTTGTTCGACCAAGGGTCGTAAACCCAAAATTATTCCGATCCGGGCCATGTAACCCCTAGCTCAGCAGAGTATATAAGGCGAGCAAGGGCCCTCTCGGGCCAGGATGACATTCCAGAGCCATCTAGTAAGGCCATGCTTGGCAACTCAATAAAGATTTCCTCCTTTATTAAGATAGAATGGTATTTTACTAGTCACCAACAAAAACACCAGAAATCCATTCAATTGTATGGTGCTGTTTGGCAGGTGGTTATGTCTAAGAGCACCAAAACTCCAAACAATCACCGCGCACACCGCATGGAGGAGTTCATCGCGCAACGGGCTTCTGGACACTTGATACATTTCAAACATATCTATAAATTTCGATTGTTTCATACTATGTTTATATTATTTTGGCATAGTTTTGAAATCAATTTTTATCATTTTTCTAGATTAACCTATTAACTCAGTGCCCAATTTTTCAATTTATAGGAAAATCAATTTTACAGAGCTCCAATACCCCCCAAAATTGCACGAATCATTTTTCCTCGGGAAGCTTCCAAAGGGCTTAAGACCCACCAGAGGGGCCCCACAGCCTCCACACAGCCCCACCATGCGGCCAGGGGCGCGTGGCCCCCCTGAATCTCCTATCCACCGCCTTTCGACGCATATTTCTTTTTCGTTCCAGAAACCCTAAACATCGAGGAGTTATTATGTTTCTGCCGCCGCACCTCTCTGTTCCTTGGCGATCCGATCCAATTGGTAGCCCTTTCCCGGTACTCTGTCGGAGGGGGAAATCATCATGGTGGCTATCTTCATCAACTTGAAAGTCACCATGAGCACATGTAAATAGTTTCCTTTGGACTATGGGTCCATATCAGGAGCTAGATGGTTTTCTCTCCATTGCTTCTCAATACAATGATCACATGAGCTGCCCTACATGCCCGCGGTCCATCTGATGTAGTATGTTGGTGCGTTTGTTGCAGTGTGATGAATTGTCACTTGATGGTCAGATTTATCGATGAGTCTTTTAGAGATCTATTTGGTTTCTTTGTTGCATAACTCTTATTCATATATGCTATATGATCTAATTGTCTTTGTTTGAAAAAGTTTGATATTTGATCCCCAAAAGTGGGGGTTGTGTATGATAGCTGGGTTCAATCTTGCAAGTAATTTACCGCAGTGACAGAAAGTGGAAAAATATTGTATCGTGTTGTTGCCACCAGGGATAAAAAGATGATTACGTAATTGACCTTTGAACGCAGGGTGAAGACAATATATCATCGAATTCATGTCATCATACTTAAAGCAGTACTCTGTTTTTACTTAATACTTTAATATGCATGATGGAAAGCAGTCATGGGTGGAGTATTAGTTATAGATGCAGTTGGATAGATATTTGCGTCTGATGCTCATATGCTAGTTATGCATGGATAGTCATAGTTATAAAACTATAATTTAATCGATACACAACTGTAATTTGTTCACCACGCCCTTTTGGTGAGAAACCACTAGTGAACCTAAGGATTTCGGTCCATTATTCTTCCTATTTCCTTCAACCCCGATCACATGCTCTTTTTTAAAATTCCTTGTTTTTTACTTTCTTGATGCAATCAAATTTTCCATACACTTGTGCATTTAAATACTTGTAACTAGCAGAGCTAGTGAGATTAACAACCTTTCTTGTTTCGTTGGGCACCAAGGGATTTTTGTATTTTTGTGTGCATATCCTGATCATTGGATGTGCCACAAACTCCTACTGATTCGATAAACCTCAAGGTCATCTACTTGAGGAAAATTGATGCTTGCTACAAGCCTTGCACTTGGGGACCGACACCTTGCTAGTTCAAAGGAAGCAAGCCTTTTTCGAGTGTCGCTGCTGGGTAGTTTGCTTTACAGGTACATTCAACCCAATCTACCATCAATTTTGCCAAGTCTTTTTGGTACTTTTGTTGTTTAGTTTTGTCTTTCTACCATAGGTTCTGCATACCTTAACTTTGCTACCATGTTACCTACTTTGTTTAGTTACTTTTTGTGCTTGTGAAAAGATCGATATGGTCAACTAGAGGGGAGAGGGTGAATAGGAGACTAACA